CCCCAAAACCCCAAAACCCCGATGAAATTTATTTCTTCTCAAATTAGGGATAATTAGTTAGAATTATTATTGCATTATAAATTAAGCACTTTAATGGAAAAATCTCTGCAGACTAAAATTGATAATCTTGATGCATAGCTTCACTAGGTTGATCCTAACTATGACTTTAACTACGATGCTCAATTTAAAGTCATTGTGATTGGAGACTCTGGTAAGTACTTGTAGTTAGCCTTGTTAAAACTAACTTTAACATAGTCCCAGAATATTTTAATCATGATATGATTGATTCATTAATAATTTAGGTGTGGGAAAGTCCTGCATTGTTCAGAGATTGACATAAGATATGTTCAAGGATGATCATTAGATCACTATCGGAGTTGAATTCGGAGCATTTGTGATGAAGATTGAGGGCAAGATCATTAAGCTTATGATATGGGACACTGCTGGCTAAGAGCAATTTAGATCAATCACAAAGCTTTTCTATAAGAACTCTGACGCTGCAATCATTGTTTACGATGTTTCAAGGTTAGTCAAAATTCATCATTAGCTGACAATGATTTAGGAGAGAAAGCTTTGATGATGTTTAGACCTGGCAAAATGAGATTGAAAACAACACAGATGAGAGTGTCTTGTAATACCTAGTGGGCAACAGAGTAGACTTAGAGGACTCTAGAGAGATATCTCATCAGGAGGGAAGCAGTCTTGCAAAAGATAAAAGATTTGGAAACTTTTTCGAGACGTCAGCAAAGACCGGGTAAAACATTAGAGAACTGTTTATTTAAGTAACGAAGCATCTATATCTAAAGAATAAGGACAGGCTAGACAGATTTGTAATATTCTTATTGAGTTTCATTGAGATATAGAGAGAAAAGGACGAGACCGATAACAGCATGAACTATCGCAGCTAAAGCATCGCGCTATCGTAAATAAATAAAAAAGACAGTGACAAGAAGAAAAAGAAGAAGGGGTGTTGCTGAATTTTTCTATGGCAGATTTTAACATATTTAAAAGTTACATATCAGATACATTAGTGGTAAGAGGTAAAATTGATTAAGCTTGAATTTCAGATATGCTAGTTTGCTTGTATGTTTGCTTCTCACTGATGTTTTGATATCTATGATCTTAATAAGAATAATAGTTCATTAATCTTTATTTTCATCTTTAATTGAAAAGAACATGCGGGGTTTTGGGGTTTTGGGGTTTTGGGG